ATTCATCGTCCTCGAGATAAAGGACGTTCATCATCCCCAAAATGAAGGACGACCATCGTCTTCAAGATGAAGGACATCTGTCGTCCTTGAAATGAAGGACATTCATCGTCCTTGAGATGAAGGACATTCATCATCCTCAAAATGAAGGACATCCATCGTCCTCAAGATGAAGGACATCCATCGTCCTCAAAATGAAGGACGTTCATCGTCCTCAAAATGAAGGACGACCATCGTCCTCAAGATGAAGGACATCCATCGTCCTCGAAATGAAGGACATTTATCGTCCTCGAAATGAAGAACATTCATCGTCCTCGAAATGAAGGGCATTCATCGTCCTCGAAATGAAAGACATTCATCGTCCTCGAAATGAAAGACATGCATTTCCCTCGAAAGGAAGGACAAAAGACAGCCAACAACTATGGCACCGCCTCGGCCAGGAACACTACAATTCCCAGGTAACCCTCCATCGGCCAAAGCGTCAGAACGACAAGGATCTACTCCATTTCACTTCGTCTGCATCTCATCTCAGAGAGTGGGGGACTCCTGATGGAGTATATGGGTCCAGACCCCATGACCCACATACTCAGAAGACTAAGAGGAGCACAGCTGTCATCCAGTGGACCCTCTGTCGGCTAGATGGAACCCCATCGGCCGAAAAAGAGTCAACCCGGAATACGCTCCAGAAGCCAAGGAGAAGACTTGTCCTCCGCCGGCCAATGCCCTCGTCGGCCGAGCGCCTCCATCATCCATGCCTCCATCGACCGAGCGTCTCCGTCGGCCATGCCTCCGTCGGCCGAGCGCCTCCGTCGTCCATGCCTCCGTTGGCTGAGCGCCTCCGTCGTCCATGCCTCCGTCGGCCGAGCGCCTCCGTCGGCCAGAAGGAACTCATAGGACCAGACTTCTAATGTAATCAGCCCAATAGAGGCTCTATATTGTAATGGGCCTCCCAAGCCCAAGACTTGGGAGCCCAGTCCACTTTTTCCTATAAATACTCCCCTTGGGAGCCATGTAAAGGGTTCGAAAATAATTAATACAACTCACTTCTCTCTCTAGCTCTCCCTTCTCTCTAGGAGTTAATACTCCATCAATGGTAATTAAACTTAGATTCTTTTTCTTTACATGGTAAAATAACAAATTTCCCATCCGCATCATACTCATAATATCATGTTATATATGCAGTGAAATCATACTCATAATATCATGTTATTATGAGTATATAATGTTAAAACATTGGGTCCGGAACCATTATGATATAGAATCAAGAGACTTTTACACATCGCCTTTATTCACATATGTTCAAAAATTGATGTGGAGGGTGGTTTTTAACCGATATAAGAAACATTTTTTTAATCTTTGAGTTAGATTGCAACTTTGGGGGTGTTTGACAATCGGCTGTTGGCCGTTGGTTGTTGACTAATTCTTTCAGCTGATTGATGATAGCGGATTCTTTTGATTGTTTTGATCAATTGATACTATTAGCAGTTTATAAAATGGTGTTTGGTTAAATGGTCGTTTTCGATCAAATAATGACATTTGAGGACATCAAATAATTTTTTATTATTGTGTACTAAAATCCTTTTTACGTGAGTATGATTCTTTTATCGTTATGTGAGTGATTTAAAAATGTAAACTTTACTAAAATAAGTAATAAATATTTCAAACATTGTTTTTTATTACTACCTAATATATACTTCGTAATCATCAAAAATAAAAATATACTTCCTCCGTCCCATTGGACTTTGCCAACTTTCCTTTTTTGATTGTCCTAAAAAACTTTGTCACTCTCCCTTTTAAAGCAACTAGTTTGTGGTTCTGCACATTTCTCTCTCTTCTGCACAAATCTCAACCACACAATTTTTACTATTCTTATTTCTCACCTACTTTGCATTTGGCAAAGTCCACCGGGACGGAGGTAGTACTTTGTATGTATTAGCAGAGTTGAAACTATGACTCAGAAAAATGGTTAAGCTAGCTATTCATCTTCTGGCTCTTTCGTTTCCCAAATAAATTGGGTGTGAGAGATTGCCACTTTAATTGTTACAACACCACACCTCAAGTTTTAATTAAAAGATTAGAAAATTCAAAACTGTGCTCCCAGAGTTACGTTGTTTCTTTGCTCCGCGGCAGAAGATTTTTTTCCTTGATCGGAACAATTTTCGGTAGGAGGGAGATAAGGAAAGAACGTGGGTAGTAGAGGGAAGGCATGCAAAAGCCAATAGTAATCGCTATGTTTATTAGCTTTTAGGATTTTGGTTGTTTTGGAGAAAAGGCTGATTGAAAAATTTATTTAACCAAACACTTTAATTGGCTGATTGATTTGGTCAAAATCCAAATATAATCAAATTAGCCAAAAACTGGCTAATAGGCTTCTAACCAAACACCCCTTCTTAGCTACTTCTAAGCTCTAAAGAGACCTATTCCCTTGGTAGAATGAGATATGTACTTTAGGAGCATATGAACATTGCATGAAACTCATTGTACAAACTAATAAATAAATTTATAATTTCACCAAATTGGGCAATTACGTCGACTGAATTATAATCATATTATAAAAATAGCCACACGTGCAACTACAACCATAATGTTTCAAAAGCGTTTCAGATTGAGACAGTTTAAAGCTAGGTGAGGATTAAGGTGAATCAATAACATAAATAGCAAGAATAAACGAAAGATATTTTCACCATTTTATTTGGATAGGGCCGCAAAATTGATGAAACACAATACATTTCTTAGTTCATATCCTCCTCATGATCGAAATATCTTTGATTTTAACACCTTTCACTGTTTCACCTAGTCATGAGAATGGGTCGGGGGTGTGTTGGGAAGCGCAAAACGTCGTCTTGCCACGTAACTTAACTAGGTGGACCCGTCCCGCCTTATTAGCCGCACAGACCATTAGATGTAGGCTCATGCCCCCGTCCTATGCGAGGCGTGTCCGTCCATAGGGACAGATCTAGAATTTTGAGTTAAGGGGGACGAAAATTTTCATTAGTGTAGGAGATAAAAAATTTTACTAGTGTAGCGGGGTGAAGTTTTTTGCTAGTGTAGCGGGGCGAAATTTTTCACTAGTGTAAGGCTCTGCGGCTATTTTAATTCAAAAAAATCATTAATACATGCATGATGACATTTTAATCTATATATTACATTCTAATTTTAGCAAATCAAAGGAAAATAATATAAATATAAAAAAGGATATATAACATTTTATTTAAATGTAAAGAGTTTATAAGGTACACATTCACCAATACTTTTAAAATAACTTCAACATTGTTTAACTACTTGAGTCTTATAGAAATAAAGAATTGATTTTTGAATTACATTTTTTGTCTGCCATGGAGGGTGTATGATATTGTTATTTTTAGAATAATATTATATTGCTAATTCATATATATATATATTGCATATTATATTTGTATTGATGCTAAAATAATTAAAGTTTATTATCTATGGAATAAAGCCTTTTTAGAACGTAAGAAGTAAATAAATTGTGTAATTTAATGTCAATAAACATTTATAATTTGGATTCACTTCACATTATCTAAAAACTTTGTAGCTAGAGTGTCTGGTATTTGATATCGTTTGATATATATTTTTCAAAATTGTTTGCTAGTTATCTAATAAAGATAATTAACAAAACTAATAATTTTTATATAATAAGTATCCTAAATCTTAAATAATGAGTTGTTTATATTGTTTATTTAAGTTATGTAAATGATTTTAGATGTTCTTTCTTATAAATCTTCAATTAAGTACTCCCTCCGTCCCATATTTAACTCCGGTTTTGACCGGACACGGGTTTTAAGATAGTGAGATTTGTGTGGTGGAGAGTTATGCAGAGGAGAGAGAAATATGTAATAATGGTTGTGAACCACATATTCATAACCAAAAAGGGAAAAAGGAGATAAATTTGGGACGAACCGAAAAGGAAAGAATGAAGATAATTCCGGGACGGATGAAGTATTACATTATGTAAGACTATATATTAATTTTAAAAACTAAAAGTTAAGGAGGGCAATGTTCAAAAGAAGTTAAGGGAGGCGAATCTAATACAAGTATCAAAAGTTTACAAAAACATTACATATATAGTAGAAAATTTTGAAAGTCCAAGGGGGCGGTCGCACCCCCCCTTAAATCCATCTCTGTCTGTCCAGCCTCGTTCCGTCGTAACATAATTATCTAATACACATTTATAGTTGCGTGAAGTAGTTGTAGGTTGAAATTTACGTAAAGTTTATCTCCAAATAATTATCTAATACACACATATCTACGTATATGCATTTTTGTAGGTTAGAATAATTTTTCAAAAAAGATGTATATTTATCTATTGAGGGGGTCAGACGGGTCAGGACGGAACAAGTCAATACTAATACCCGAACACGCCCTATTGTGCACACGGGGCAGGGTGGACCTGCCCAATTTGCATGACGGGTCGGGTCTGTCTCGGGGCAGGGCGGGCCTCTACGAGCCATTTTTATATTCCTACTTTCACCAGAGCGCCATATCAAATTCATTGTGTCCTTGAATACGGAGAAACATACTCCCTCCGTTTCTGAAACAAGTTCTACCTTTCCTTTTCGGGTAGTTCCAAAATAAAGTTCCACTTTCAAACAAATCCTTATTTGGCAAATTATCTACATCAAAACAGTGTCAAGCAGTGTTCAAACAGTGCCAAACAGTGCACTGCACAGTAAAGTCAAATTTATTTTCTTAATATGTGTGAAGTCAAATGTGGAACTTGTTTCAGAAGCGGAGGGAGTATATCTTACCAGAAGTAGAGCCTGTTTGGTGATCTTATTATCCAATTGATCAGCTTATCAATTATTTTTTTCATTAAAAAAGTAATTTTTTATTTCACGCATTCAATTGCGTATTAATCAAAATAAGTATAATTGAAGTTATTTTTCTGACTGAATTACGTAGTAATACTGAATTAATAGAAGTTATTATAAAAAAAATATTTTAGTTATTGTTTCATAAATTCAATCAGCATTTCCACACCGGAACAAATTTATATGTTCTCCTTTTCCTCGCAAGCACCAACCGGCTACCGCGGCGCGCCCTGTACAAACAACCCCTCTTGTTCTTCCTTGTGATTCAATTCCTCCACACCTTTTCTGTGTTTCTTCTTCTCTTCCTCCCCACCTAATAATTTTCTACAGTTGCTACACCCTAGAAAGATTACATAATTTCCGCAAGAGTATAAACTTCCCTTCTCCTATGGCCTCCTATTCGACTTTCTTCCACCCACATTCAGGTATTCCATTTCCTAAGCTCCATACCTTTTTCAATTTCTTTTTATTTGCTTTATTAACTTCATTTTTGGCATCAATCTTGTTGAAAATATAACCCAATAACTGTCTTCCCCCACTTAGCCGTGGCCTCCTTTTTCTTTTTCTCTTTACTTCAGACACTCGTGCCTTTTGTTTTTTGTTTTGTTTGGGAGAAGAAGAAGTAGAGGAAAAAAGAATATAAAGAGTGGTTAAGATAAAGTTTTTGGGAATAAAATAGAGGGACTGAAATACTGATCATAAACTAGCGAAAATCGTCAAATCAAAATTTTAAGGGGTGGAAAATGTAATTAAGACGAATTTTAAAGTAATCCCCCAATTCCACGTGAATTTGCGATGCGTTTTCGTTTCACGTTCAGCTCGTGACTTACTCCGAGCATTTCTTAAACCATCAATCGCCTCCCAGGCAGAGGGAAAATCATATCTTTGACTCACTGGTATACATCTTTACTCTTTCAGTCTTGGCACGTTTCAAAGCAAGAAGTTCTGTTCTATTCAGCATATCCTAAACGGACATATACGCAGCAACAGGTTTAAGCTTATTATTACTGCCAGTGATCTATCTGTATGTTCTTGCGTTTTTCTTTTCAAATTATAGTCCTTTTCTGGCGAGTTGTTGTTGATATCATGACTTCAGGAGTGATCCCTGGCGCATTCAGATGGGATGTGTGCTTGAGTATTGATTAATTAGTGTTACATTTGTTATTTTATATTTAGCCTATTCATGGAATGATCCAACAAACCCCCTTTAATATGATCAATTTCACAAATAAGATGATTGAATGAATTCCTTTTGCCTAAAACAGACAATGTTGGATCCGCTCGTACTGATGACTCGATTGAATTATATTAAATGGCCCTCTTTCCTAAAGTGTAAGACAATAATGGGTAACATTGTGCATGCAAAACTCTTCACCTTTTAGTGGTACTTCTACAAGACTTCCGCATTACATTTATTAATTTGATTGAAAGCTTTAGACAATCCAATTTGGCCAATCGATAAATTTAAAGCACTTATAAGCAAATATGGCGTTACGCCTGCTTTTTCATGATAAGAATAACTTACTTTCCTCCCACTGTTGGATCAGATATGGACCTTGCATCCGGTTCATTTGCACAAACAGAAGATCAGTTCTATATTCTGTACTTAATCATCGGCACTTACTTTGGACCTGATCTCAAAGGAGAAAAGGCTAAGAAGTCTGCTTTGCGAAGGATGTTTGAAGCCTGTCCCCCATATACTTCTAACCAATTAGCTGGCACATGCATCCGGACATCTGAAGTAGAGAGGCTTTATTATTACATCCTCAGAGAGGCAGATCAGTCTGTCATTCTGCCACTACCTTTATTTTACCAGTTCTTTCATGGAATTCATCATACTCCGATACAAGGCTTTGCTGCATCTTACCCTAAGTTCAGTGAGCTTTTCCCTCCTGGCTTACATCACCTTGTACGCACTTTCAATGGGTATCATGTTATTGAAAACATTGTATTTGTCAATGACCCTGATGTAAGCTACATCACTCCCAAGTGTTTGGAAAGGTACAAAAAGCTGACGGGTCTACAAAATTTTCTCTTGGATGGAGGTCTGTCTGGGCCAGAAGTTCTTCCCCTGCCTGCCCATAATGGATCACTTACATGTACACTGTATGATGATATCAGCGGGCAATTTACTAGAAATTCCTTGGACGGTCACTTAAATGATCCAAGTCCTTTAACATGCCCTTCTAATGGTCTATCACAATCAAAGACCACTTCTGTGGAGGCTATGCTTGTCCTTCCAATGCACCCTTCTGCGGAAGCGTTAAGTGACATTGTCGTTGCCAACAAAAGGGGGTATGCAATAACTGGAAGTGCAGCAAGTGGGAAAATAGGGCCAGTTCTAGGACTACTGGATATTGGAGAGTGTGAGGATGCTTACTTGTTTCGTATATCACTTCCTGGAGTAACAAGAGATGAAAGTAAGTTATCATTTTATCTGATTTAGAGTCAATAACTTGGTAGTTGATATTGCATGCGAGGTAGTTTGAATTTGTTGATCTGTTAGCAATAGTTATTCCTAGTTTAAGGGTTTTGTGTATTTAGGGATGCCCTTTTCCTAGAACCTTTTGTTTATTTTATATCTTGCAAAAGTAGGGAAGATTACAAATAAAGAAGAGGATGTTTTATGCAAATGAAGTAAAAATGAAGAAACAAAGTTGCAGAAAGAAGAAGAATAGAACATGAAATACCGAAAGGTATTCACGAGCAATATTAACTTGCCCAATGGCCTAGTTCTGCCCAACTCTAAAGAGTCCCAAATTTCACTATTCTCTGAATACCTCCTATCTTATAGAAAGGTCTTATTTATTATCCACCAGAATATGTAAAAAAGGTAAAATGTAATCAATAATAAACTATTCTCGGTATCATGCTAATCATGATCTATTGCTAGAATTTTCCATATAAGCAAATTTGATTTAGTTTGATCCTTTGATTGATTCTCTTATTGCTTTCCTTCTGCAGAGGTTAGAAATTATGTCTATTTATCTCTAAACTTAGAAAATGTTTGTGTTTGCTTCTACTTTTAAGAATTGGTTAATTGTAGAGATTATATGGAAAGAGATTTTAATAGTAAAAATTGATAGTGTTCGAGAAAACAGTGGTAGTGAAAAAGTAAAAGTTAGAGTGTTTGGTAAAAACAGTACTTTTTGTTTAATTGAAAAAGTGAAAAATACTTTAAAGCACTCCACCTGTTTACTGTTTTTAGATTTAAAGTGTTTAGTTTAAGCAGAAGCAGTTGTTTGAAAACACTATTTTAATTTTTTAAAAGCTAAATTGCACTTTCTTTAAGCAATGCAAACACTCCCTTAATATACCAATTGTCCATTACCATAGGTTGAGCTATATAACTCTTCTCATTGACTAAATGAGTTGTTCCTTTGTTTTGAGAAAGCCATATTGCATGCATATGCCTATTTTTCACATCACAACTCATTTCTTAGTTTCACTACCACTGTTCTCTTACTGGTTTTGGTGCCCAATAACTAAAACTGTAGGAGAGTTTAGCTGTGAAGTGGAGAATGATGGCAATGTGATAATAAAGGGAGTGACAACAGGTGGGGAAAAAACGGTTCACAGGTACTCTCAGATGTTTGAGATGCAAACTCAGAACCTTTGCCCGTCCGGATATTTTTCTTTGTCTTTCAAGCTGCCAGGCCCCGTAAATCCTCAAAAGTTTTCTGGTACATTTGGTACCGATGCAATTCTTGAAGGAATTGTTATGAAAGCAGGACAGAACGAAGTGTAGCCAACTATAAATGCAAGTTACTAATGTAGCAACTAGCTAGGTATAGAGTATAGTATTATGGAGTCTGCCTTTTAGAATCATATATCAGATGATGCACTGGTATCAAATCATATTACATTTTTATGTGCTTTTAAGAATTTTATCTCTTTATTTTTGACTTCTTTGAAAAATATTTGACCTTGACTCCCGATGCCAAATGAATGTCGGCCCTAGAGGTCTACAACCTTAATGGAGGTTATTCCCATTTAAAAATGCACGCCAAACGGCCATTTTTGTCTTAGGTTGCTTGTAGATAGCATGTAATCTCAATCTCTAATCACATAACTAGGAAAAATGCTATGTTCACTCTGGTTCATTGCTTGATTTTACTGCTTATTAGCCATGGTCTTTTGCAAATTTAAGTCACTTTGCATAAGGGTGGATACGGTTCTGACCTGTTCCTTAAAATTAGGTCCTAAAATTAGGACCTCAACGGTCAATAGGAACCACGGGATAGGGGGTAGACATGTCCCCGGTTTCCGGTTCAATCGAAATGGTAACCGGAACCGGTGGTTTTTTAATCGGAACAAATTGAGGTAGGCTTATGGTTTGGAACCTGAAGTTCTAGGTAGCGGTTTGAGTTTTCATGATTTGGGGAACCTCAACGGCTCAACCGCCTGTTCGAGTTCAAAACCGTTTTTGAATTAAAGATCTCTGTGTGTGTGTGTGTATTATATGGAGTATTATTTTATATGTTATACTACTTATATAATAATATAAAAATAATGGGAGGGAGGTTTGGGTGGGAAAAGTGTAGCACTTTGGGCAGATATTTATTTACTCTAAAATTTATTGATAGGATTAAAGTCTTAAGAATATATGTGTTGTTCGAACTTCGAAGTATATGTTGTGAAATGACGAAGATGAACACTAAACTTATGAGATAGATATATATATAGATAAAACCTTTAAATTACTTCTTAATATCTGAAAAGTTATGAGTCTCTAAGTTACATTACAAAGGTTTGATCAAGTCATATTTATACTAGCTGGGCTTGATGATGAATCATCAAAGACTACTTCTACATATTTTGTTGGCATTATTAAACCTAGCCATCTATCTATCTATGATTACAAGGATGGAAAGAAGCTTAGTGTCCTGTTTACAAGGATGATGACAAGGATGAACAATTCACACTTGTCATTTCTTGGGTTTTACAACACTCCCCCTTGAATGTTCATCTTTGAGAATAGTTATTTGTATTTAAAAATTTATTGTGAAGATTAGTGTGAAAATTAAGGGGTAAAATTATGGCTTATAATGTCATTGTATTTGGACGTACTGTCTCATTAAAAACCTTATCAGGAAAAACTCAGTGAGATAAAAAATTGATGAAGGAAAAAAGAGTGCAGTGCATTTAAATACTCCTCCTGAATTTAGCATAAATTATGAAGGTGGCGCATGACGATTTTCTGTACATGTTCTATGAACTTCATCGGGGGCAATTACTTGGTGAAGAGATCAGCCGGATTTTCACTGGATCTGATTTGTTGAATGTTGATCGTCCGTCCCTTCTTTCTCCAGATCATGAGTAAAGAAGAACTTTGGTGATATGTGTTTTGTTCTGTCTCCTTTGATGTAGCCTTCTTTAATCTGAGCTATGCACGCAGTGTTGTCTTCGTAGATCACAGTAGGATGACAAGTAAAAGGCGTCATACCGCATTCTTTTTGGATGTGTTGAATCATAGATCGCAGCCACACACATTCTCTTTCAGTTTCATATAGTGCAATTAACTCAGAATGATTTGATGATGTAGCTGTCAATGTCCGCTTCATAGATTTCCACGAGATTGCGGTGTTACCATAAGTAAATACGTACCCGGTTTGTGATTTTGCCTTTTGAGGATCTGATAAATACCCCGCGTCTGCATATCCGATTAAAGCGGTTTTTTCATCTTTGTGGTAGAATAGGCTGAGATCAGCTGTACTGTGAAGATAATGGAATATGTGTTTGATCCCGTTCCAATGGCGTCTTGTTGGGCATGAACTGTACCAAGCTAATAAATTTACAGAAAATGCAATATCTGGTCTAGTATTATTAGCTAAATACATTAAAGCTCCAAGCCTCCAATAGCACTCAGATATGGTACTTCGGGACCGAGTATTTCTTCGTCGTCTTCTCGGGGACGAAATGGATCATCGTTTATGTTGAGAGATCGAATGGTCATTGGTAAAGTCAAAGGATGAGCTTTGTCCATATAGAATCTCTTCAACACTTTCTCGGTGTAATTGGATTGGTGGATGAAAATTCCATTCTTCAAATGCTCAATTTGAAGTCCGAGACAAAATTTGGTTCTCCCGAGATCTTTCATTTCAAATCTTTCATAAGATATTTTGCAGTATTCTCGATTTCATCAGGAGTTCCAATAATGTTTAAGTCATCAACATAAACTGCAATTATGGCGAATCTCGAATTTGATTGCCGAATGAAAACACATGGACTAATCGCATCATTCTTATATCCTTCTTTGAGAAGGTATTCACTGAGACGATTATACCACATTCGTCCAGATTGTTTTAGTCCATAGAATGACTTTTGTAATTTTATGGAAAACATTTCTCGAGGTTTCGAGCTATAAGCTTCAGGCATTTTGAATCCACCGGGAACTACATCCATTAGACGCATTTGCAGCCTTTCAAAAACAGACATGTCAATGAGAAACCTTAATGTAGTTGCATCAACTACTGGAGAATAAGTTTCTTCATAATCAATTCCCGACATTTGAGAAAACCCTTGGGCAATAAGTCGGGCTTTATATCTTACAATTTCATTTTTCTCATTGCGTTTACGCACAAATACTCATTTAAAGCCCACTGGTTTTACGCCTTTTGGCGTAGGGACTATCGGTCCAAAAACATCACGTTTTTCAAGTGATTTTAATTCAGCCTAAATAGCTTCATTCCATTTTGGCCAATCATGTCATTTCCGACATTCTTCTATTGATGTTGGCTCATTGTCATTGTTTTCATTCATAACATTTGTGGCAACGGCATAGAAAAATATCTCATTAATATCAATATCTTTTCGATTCCATTGCATTCGAGTAGAAACGTAGTTTATTGAAATTTCATAATTATCAACGTTTCTATCGTTATCTGGAATATCTTCCTCGTTTAAGGAAGTTGGATCATCATTTGAGATGTTTGTTTTGTCAATATCATTTTCTATGCCAGTATTTTCAAATTGTTCATTTTCTTGTTCAGAAGGATGAACATCTTTGGCATCACAGATCAATTCCTGCCTTTTAGTTTTTCTTGGTTTTATGTCTTTTAATCCATGTGGTCTGCCACGCTTTTTGCGTATAGAAGAATCATTTGCAAGATATTTTTTAAAATTCTCTGTTGGGATTTTGATTCTGACAGGGGCATTCATAGCAAGAATATGTGACTTTGTCACTTTCTTTGTATCTGTGAATGCATCAGGCAACTGATTTGCAACATTTTGTAAATGGATTATCTTTTGAACTTCTTGCTCACATATATTTGTTCTTGAGTCGAGATGTGATAACCCTGTTGCATTCCATGTTATCTCTTTCGTACTTGGGTCTAATTTATTCTTTTCTCCCCCTAAGGTTGGGAACACTGTCTCATTGAAATGACAGTCTGCAAACCGTGCTGTGAATAAGTCACCAGTCATCAGTTCGAGATATTTTATTATTGAGGGAGATTCAAAACCAACATAAATTCCCAACCTTCTTTGAGGACCCATTTTTGTACGATGAGGTGGAGCAATTGGAACATAAACAACACAACCAAATATCTTAATGTGTGCTAAGTTTGGCTCTTGTCCAGTTACTAATTGCATTGGGGAATATTCATGATATGCAGTTGGTCTAAGCCGAATTAAATTTGCTGCATGTAAAATAGCATGTCCCCAAGATGATGAAGGTAAGTTACACTTCATTAATAATGGTCTGGCGATTAATTGTAATCGTTTAATCAAAGATTCATCAAGACCATTTTGTGTATGGACATGAGCAACATGGTGCTCCACATCAATCACAATAGACATACAATAGTCGTTAAATGATTGGGATGTAAATTCTCCTGCATTGTCAAGTCGGATTCTCTATATTGTATTGACTTTAGCTTCAACTAAAGTCATTTGAGAAAGATATATTTTATTTCTCAAAATGGTGTGTGTTGTGGCGCTGTCTATTAGACATAGCTCTTTATCACTTGAGTGATTCATATCTTAGATATATATAAATAAACATAAGCTTGATCACAAATTATGCATATATTTTAACATAACAGTACATATATTACACACGTTTATTTAAAAGCAAAATGAAAGAGGGAAGAAAGAAAAAAATACATAAAACTAGTATTATACAACATAAGAAGTCTACTATTTTATTTTGTAACATTTTGGTTTATGGCAAAAGCATCGTCCATAATGGCATCATCCGCGAAAAAGTCGGACACGTCAAATTTCGGCAGAGGTGAAGTTGTGTCATTGACATAATTAGCTTCCATATTTTTGGCTTTGTTAAGATTAATGGAAGCTTGAAATAACTCCACTAAATGTTTCTGTACTTTTCCCTTTATTTTTAATAAAATCGTTTCTCTTTAAAAAAAACTCCACTAAATGTTTAGCCGTGCGACATTTATTAGCCCAGTGCCCCGTCATGCCACATTTATAACAAGTCGACTTTCCCAAGGACTTTGGAGGGCGGTTTATTTGATGGGCCTTTTGTTTGCCCTTGCCCTTGTAATTTGGTCTTTCGACCTGTTTGTATTCTCGGTGTGACTTGTTTTTATGACTATTAAAATGCCTACGTTTAAAATGTCTTCTACTGCCACTGTATGTTGCATTTGATTCAGTGGCTAAATTATTGCCAGATGGACCATAAACCGAAGGACTAGAACCAGTGGGTCTCAGATTATGATTTTTCATCAAAAGGTCATTATTTTGCTCAGCTACCAATAATACCGATTTTAAGTCAGAGTATTTTTTAAAACTCTTTTCTCTATATTGCTGTTGTAGCAGCATATTAGAAACATGCATTGTAGAAAAGGTTTTCTCCAACATATCAGCATTAATGACTTTTTGTCCACATAACTTTAATTTGGATGTTATTTGGAACATAGCAGAATTATAGTCACTGATTGATTTAAAATCCTGGAATCTTAAATTGATTCAGTCGTACTGAGCTTTAGGCAAAAGTACCTTTTGTTGATGGTCATACCTCTCCTGTAAATTGTCCCATAATTCTTTTGGGTCA